AAGAGATGCAAATATACTAACTTCACAAAGATGACGAGGCCTAGTTTCCTAGTGATTTTAGAGCACTTATAGGTCCCAGGAGAAAAAATGCTATAAATATTAAAAGTATTGTTAAACAATAAACACATATGATCTGAATGGGAAGTAGAAGAAACACTTGCAATTCTTTTGGTATTTTCACGCATGAATTTTTTTCACTAGGATTGAAAGGTTAGAAAAAATGCCTGAATGCTGGAAAAAATTGACTTTCCACTGGGCTGGAAATATTAACACTGCATCTGGGAAACCTTATTGGCGTGGACCCTCTGTGAATGGTAGCAGATGTCAGAGCCTTGTGGGTCTGCTTCTTATTGGAGGAGAAATCCATGATGCAGAGTTTGGGTATAGTCTTACTGCAACTTGTTAATTTACATATGTCCACTACTCATGGAAAAGAGGTGGTCACAATGGCACATGAGCAATAACCTCTTTCTGAACACTCAGCACCACAAATACCCAGGGAACAACTCTGCTGACTCTAGGCAAACAGAAAGCAAACTCTCCTGCTGCATGCCACGCCTCCCTCACAGAAACAGCATCAACAAAACAAAACTCCACAACACAGCATTCCCACCAAGGCTAAAAACTTGCCTGCACACTAAGGAAGAGAATTTGTAAGGCCGAGGGTATGTCTACACTGCAAATCCAGAGGTGTAACTGCAGCACATGTAGACATAACTGAGCCAACTTTGATCTAAGCTAGTTCAAGTAACAGTTGCAGGGAAGCTGAAGTAGCACAGGATGCAGCTGCTCGAACATGTATCCAGGGTCCCTTGGGGGGCAGAGCTAATCTGAGCAGCTGTGGCTTCACTGCTATTGTTACTTGAGCTAGCTTTGATCCAGCTAGACTGCAGTGCAGACATAGCACAGTTACACACAGGGTATCTGATGAACACTGTCATAACATTTGTTTCTAAAGTTTCTCAAACTTCAATCGTGCTACTGAGACAGCCACCAAAGGAGCTAATTATGCTGCTTAGTTATTCATATACTCCTTATGGGCACCTGAGTCCAACAATAGCACCACCACAGTTAGGAAATGGGTGGGGTGGGAGGGGGAAGTAGAGTTTTCCCCACAGTGCACCATGTTCCTAGGGCTAGAGTGTCAACACTGAGGGTTGGAGGGGGGAGGGAAGGGGCTAAGCACTTTAGGATATGTTTGCTTTGACTCAGGTTTGTGCACTGCTGTGTGGATGCCAGAGCCCTAGGTTCAAGCAAGGGCAGGGAAACTGGAACACTTTTTGTAGTGGGGGTGCTGAAAGCCAGCTAAGGAAACTAAAGCAGTGGTCACCAAACTTTTCACCTTGCACCCCCCTTTATCCCTGTCTGTGCTCCCCATCCCTCCCCCCCCCCCGCGAGCTGTGGCTCAGGGAAGGGGGGGACACGGATGGGGTAAGGGGCTGAGGCTAGTGCCACAGCTGGGGGTAAGTGCTGGGCCGGCAGCCGGGACCCCAGGCGGGGTCAGGAGTGGAGCTGCAGCACCCCCTGCACACCTAGTTCCCGCACCTATGAGCATGGGTCAGAAAATGCTTAACCTAGGGTTCAAATGCAGTAGAGATGCTCAAGCCCAGGGTTCCCTGACACAGGTCAGCTGACTCCAGTCCCACTAACCCTGGCCTTACATTCCTGTGTAGTGTCCTTTTGGTCTTTGGGCTAAATTCAACTCTAGAATATGTGGACAATTTTTTCCATTAAAGTAACTGGGAGTTGCACTCACTCACTAAGGACTGTTTGGCCCCTTGTGTTTCTTAACAGAAACAAAAGCCTCGTCTATAAAACAAAATTGCACTGGTTAATTTAATTTTTTAAAGAAATTTAGTTAAGTCAGTGAAAACCCCTTTGTGGACTCTCTTATTTCAGTTTAAGAGCGCCTTATTTCAGTTTAACAAACAGTTTCCTAATCCATTTAAACAAGCCTGGTTTAAACTCAAGTAAGAGTGCCCATCCATTGTTCTGCATTAGTTTTGACTAATTTGGTTTAAAAGAAAAAAAAATCACACATTTAGTTAAACTGGTGCCACCTTCTCATGTAGACAAGCCCTGGGACAGTTTGAAGACAGGAGACATGGTTAGCATCAAGCTGCTCCATCTTCCAGTTTTCACTACTTGGTTTTGAACTGATGTAAGTCTCTGAAGGCAGTACAGGAATATACTCAGCCTGGGGATCCATAGTTCCATCACTACCACCACTAGTGTGGCTACTTTTGCTATTTTTCAGCTACATGGTTTCTCCCAGCTATCCCACAATGCTGAAAGATATACACTCTAAATACATGTTAAACATGCAAGATTGTATTACCCTTTGCAGTGTACAGCTACTAGGGGGTAATTTTTAAATGTTCATTCTCCCATAGTGTTACTTCATCTCTGTTATTTGTCTTTGGAGTTTAACTGTCATATCCTCTTCCACTGTACTTCAGGGAGTGCTGCAGAAAGATACCTCCAAAAGTATAAACTTTAGGGATGAAATCCCCACCCCAGTGAAGTCATTAACAAAACTCCAGTGGAGTCAGGATTTCACCCTAGAAGCCTAGGTTTTGGTATGAGTAGCAAACATGTTATATTGCTTACACTTTGGTAAACTTGTGTATTACTTAAACTCTGTGGGGGTGGCACAGGGAAGGGAAGGAGATGTAGCAAGAAAAATGACTAACAGGAGGGTGTAAGACAGTGAGTTACTTTTTCTTGCTGTAATATTGTCCTTTCATGCTCCACAGCATATAAGATATCCCAATTTACTGAGATTTAATTTACACCACCATATAAATCACCTCTAAATTTGTCCCTATTTGTCAAAATAGACTGTAAGCTCTTTGGGGAGTAGATGATGTATTTGAGTATGTTTTTACTACATCTACTACGGTGGGGTACCACTCTTGCCTAAGGTCTATGGCACTACTACAATACAAAAGTTAATAAGCAGAATGGGGATTTTTCAAATCAAAACATGGCCCAATAAAATGATCAAGTAACACTGTATTAAAATGGTTATGCATAAATTACATTACCTATTGGTACCACATGCAAATAGCATATTAGAAAATTATGTGTATTTATTACAAAATGAATGCAAAGACTTGCAAGAAAACGTGTCTACTTGTCTGTAGGAGATGTAAAGTAATGTAGCCAAGAGGCATGCAATATCACATGCTGAGAGGTAAGAGAACACACACAAATGGACAAATTCACTACTGCTAAAACTGTTGAAAACAGAAGAGTTACATCAGAAATGAAGCTAAGCCTTTGTGCAGGAGCTAGGATACTGTTTTGTTACAGCCAGCTCAATGGATGAACACTAGTAAATGCACAAAAGGGAATAATCCTGCATTGGCAGAGAGATGGACTAGATGACCTAATAGATCTTTTTCATCTCTAACTTCTATCATATGATTAGCCTCGGATTTAGTGCCACCATGGAAGGACACAAAGGAAAATGTTAACTTGCCTTTCAATCACTGAGCACAAAGTGTGCATGATTTAATACAATTCTTTTCAAAAAGTTCCCCCTTTCCCAATGAAACATTAACAGGAATTGAATAGCGTTTCTCTCGTGTACAAATCTCGACTGATTTTATTATTTAGCCCCTATAGCTCTTACTGACCTCAGAGCTGTGAGGAGTCAGTATTTTTGAAACACTTTATGCAAGTCAGTATAGAAATATTAAAGGAATCACAAAGGCACACGATCAATTTGTTATATTTCACAATGAACTTTTTACCCAATATTTTTGCAAGAAACCTCTGAGATTTCTATAATTGAAAAAGATTTGAGGGGAAAATATTTCTCTCTTTTTTCTTTGCTTGTGCTGTACATTTGATAGCCCTGTGTGTACAGTTTCCACTGTTTGCCCTGAATTTCCCCTGTTTGCATGGGTCTTTCACACAGCAACAAAGGAGATAATAACCAGTTCAAAATATAGGAAAGTGTAATGGTAAAGATTTGGCAGGGGGACTCAAGGACTAAAACTATTTAAAAACTGGCTATGTTCTATTAATGTTATTACTGTAGTTTCTCTCCTGGATCCCAGCACCTTTCAAGTCCAAGTATTCTGGTAGCACTTACAACTGTCCAATGCATCTTTCTCTCTCCTTCACCACTTCTAATCACCTTTCTCCACTATTGACATTTTATGGAAGTTTATCTTTGATCCAACTCCCCTCCAGGACTAACAAGCTCTTGAAATAATCTCCAGCAATGACACTTATCGTGTATTAACCGTCTCTCTTTTATGGGCCGAGCATTGCTGGATTCGTTTGTGCCAGCACCAGCAGAGTAAGGTGTGGGGAGCCGGCAGTCAGGCGTGCCCGGTTATAAAACACATGGTATTGCCTAAAGTATATGGTTTGGATCTGTCCCGGAGTAACATAATACCACACATCACTCCTGTCTCGGGGCGATTTATTTTAGGCTGGTGCTTTGACAGACTAGGCACAGAATAAAAGCACGGCTGGTGGGTTTCCCAGTTGCCCTAACAAAGCAGATCATGTTGTTCGTTGACCGAAATGTCAAATGCTTTTGCTCACCGGGAAAGAAGCTCTAATCCCAGCAACATTTTGAAATGCCATCGACTCGCTGCGTGCCTACAGGAGTTTTCCAAAGCATGTGCCCAGGGATTAACCCTGCCTGGCCCGGGCGTGCACCGCACGAGGCAGTGCCAGTGAAACTGTCAAATGCCAGGGGAAAGCCGGGGTCAGCTTGTGACACGGGAACGCTCCTTTCCCCGGTAGCTGGGACGGGACACGAGATCCATCGGCGGCACCACCCCGGGGCACGCTCCGAATGGAGGCCGTTTAGATCTGTGGAGGGAGGGAGGGAGCCCTGGACCACGCACAGTCACATCCCAGGGAACCCCTAGCTCTCCAGAGGGAGGCTGTCAGCGGGGGACACTTCGGGTGCAGCTGTTCGCCCCGCGCACCAGCCCCCGGCCATCGCCCAGCCCCCCTGCTCTGACTCCCCCCCCACCAGCTGTGGATGCGCATCCCCTCCCCTTGGAAGTCAGACTCCAGCGGCATAGTGGGGCCGGCTCACACGGCGGGCGCCTGCCAACCTCACCCGTGCCTGGTGCCCAGGTCCCAGCCACAGCCCAACCAGGCTCCTGTCGCCGACAGGCAACCTCCTACCCGCAACTTTCTTCTTCAGTTTAGCTACTGGTGCAGAACAGCGACACCTCCCCCTTCCCCCCAGGAGATCGGCACGGGTTGCTGCTTTGTGTGCATGGGAGCTGCCAGCCACCTGGACACGGCGCGGCTGCTGCAGCGGGGCGCTTAACTGCATCCCTGCTTCCTCGCACCATGAACCTCCCGGTGATTCCCACTGGCCGGAGAGCTGCTCTTCTGCCGCTTTGTCTGCTCTTCCTAAAGACCTGGGTGCCAGTGCACAGCTACCTCTACAACAACCGCTATGCCGGGTAAGTCCGCTTGTAGCTCTCCTTGCACTACTCACACCTCCTGTTTGCACTGGGATTGATGAGCTCCTGGACTTGTCCTTAAGGGTTAGGGTGGGCGGTTAAACACCCCTACTTACTAAAACCACAACCACCCACAAAATACTCAGATCGCCTTTTTCTTTCCCCTCTAAGATCTAGTCATGCAAGTGGTAGGAATATGGCTATTCCTCACACACACACCCGCCCGTATTAACTTTTTGGCTTACACTGGATCTTACGTTCATTATGCTCTAGTTCTCTTTTTGGTAATCACACACACACACACACACACAAATATGAAGAATGCTACCTCCAAAGCAGTAGCATTGCACGAATATGACCAGTCTATTTAGAAACAAGAACTTTCCTTTTACACAGAGGATTTAAAAAAAAGGGGGGGGGGAGGCTGCATTTTATTCTAAACCAATGGAAGTTTGCATTTCTTGTACAAGTGAATATACATGTTTTCTTACTGAATGAAAAAAAAAATCTCAAATCCAAAACATCAAGGGAAAGTGATTAATTTTGCTTTTAACAGATTTTGGTCATTTTTTACATTTAATATTAGACCTTTCCTCATTTAAGCGTGATCTCTGTGTTAGAAAGGGACAATACAGTCTACATATCAATGAAAGACTGTGTGACACTATTGGGTCCTGGGTGTTCTTACTATGCTAGACTTTTCAGTAAGGGCCTATATACACAGCCAGATTCACTTGTTGTAGAATAGATCTTTATTCAGTATTTAACCAAAATAATGTTATCATCCATAGATGTGGTAACATCATCCATTAATTTCTAACCAAAGATAGGGTGATTGCTAAACATAGGAACTACTAGAAGCAAAATGGTGTATTTTCCACAGACAGTATAAAATTCATTAAAACTGATCTGCAAATTTCTTAATCAGCACAAGTAACCCTGGAATTAAGAACTGTATTACACTTTTATTTTATTAAAACAGTCAGACTAGGCACATTAATTCCATTGCTGAAACCACATTCACTAAAGTTTAAAAGCCGTACCCTAGGCTCCAGGGAATGGCTGGCTATGGGAACTGGTAACGTGATATGAAGCCTTTCACCTCTAGGTCACCCGTAGTGACAGAAAGTACTTAACATGTGACAGCTGTTTTGCCGTCTCAGGCAAATTGTCCCTGGGGTACAGGCACCAAAAAACAAGCACTCTTGTTGGCAGTATCAGAGAGGGATAGAAAGGGAGACGGAATTCCCCTCTGAACCCAGGATCCTACAATAAGCTGTGTGTGGATGCCAGGTTCCACCCACATGGAGCTCATTGAAGGATTTATGGCTCTCTGTGGCCTCAGCCACAGAGGTGATTGTCTTTACATTATGGCCATACTGCATTTGTTTGAAGATAACTAGGGAGGAGTTCAGTTTCACAGAACTGTGAATCTGGCACCTTTCATGAGCACCAGTTGTATACATTTATAATATATTGAAAATGTCTGTCTATATCTTCTAGGCTTAAATGAGACAGTTAAGTTGAAATTTAGTCAATTAAAAGAGAAAGTTGTAGTTTCAGGTACTATTAGGCTTGGCAAGCCAGTCAATTGATAAGTCAAATAATGTCAATTAACTGCCTATTATTGCTTTATCATAATCAAATATTGTCAGATATTCCAGCGAGAATGCCCTCATGTAGGCGGTGCGCCTTTCTGAGTACATCATGGCACCATTCTTTCATTTTTTAGAACTCCAAAAAATGTGAAACACAATAAAATGGAGTTAACTGAATTATTTTAAGTAAGTTGTGTGTTTCAGTTAGGCATAAGTATCTTCCTAAGGCTAAGCCTATTGAAGACCACAAGTCTTATTGATGTTATTTTTCAAATAAATTAGTGCTTTAAAACTATTGACCATTTTTATATTACTTGATGAATATTTGACTGGTCAGTTAACCAGATATTTTTGGAATGGTGAGATACCCAACCCTAGGTATTATATCTGACCCTAACTCCCTCTGCTAATTGTTGTGGTTTCACAAGCACATTTTCTTAAGTGTTTGTTTGTTTACTTTTTCTCCTGTTGCTTTCTGAAAGACCCACACAAACAACTATCTGCATCGTATAGCCCCTATCCTGCAAACTACTTCACACAGCAAGATCCAGGAATATGGTGCTTCATACAGAAGTCAGCCTAATACTGATAAGCTTACAGGATCTGGGTGTACGCAACAAACACAGTGAAATTTGCTAGTCACAAAGTGCTGTCAAATGCACAGAGCAAACAAACTAGAAAAATATTTCCCCCTCTACTTTCATTTATACTAGCCATAGGTGTTACTTGTGACAATAGTAAGTTAAAAAAAAATCAGACATATGATTTTTCAAATTGAAAAGATCCCTTTAAGATGTCAGGTAGCTCTTGCACTTCTGAAGCCTCTCTCAACAGGTCTTGGGCAGAATCGCTTTATTTCACTGATCCTTTCTGTACTCCAGATTATAAACAACTATACAGAATTGCAACAATTGAGCAGGTGTGACTATCATTACTGAACTTGTTGGCAGCCAGAGAAAACAAGAGGCCAGGAATTAGTGATGTGCTCTTAAGAACAACAATCAAGAAAGGGACACAGTTTTTCCTCTGATCACTGTAGAAAGGGATGCTGCCACCCTCCAACCCCTCACTTTCTTTTAAAGAAATTTATCAATCTAAAGTATTCAGGTACCTATAGTATCCTGTCATCATTGCAGTATCTAGGTGATAGGCACAGCTTTAAATGTAACAAATCCGTAATTGGGGCTTGAGGATAAAAACCCTCTTTTTAAAAATAAAAAGACTTAGTTTGAGGCAGGAGCACTGGTGCTACTCTGGGGATGGCTGTAGCAAAACTCAAAGAAGCAGCACCAAGAGGCAGGAAGGCAATTGTAGATGTTCAGGTGGGACTCTGACCTATAGCTGCTGATATTCTCATGTGCTCCTTTTCCTAACACTTTCAAAGATGTCAGGGGAAACAGACAGGGAGGGAACAGAATGGAGTTGCAGACAGGTGTAGGAGAGGAGCAGCTGTTGCTGCCAAAGAACAGAAGGACTTTCTAATAGCCACTGCCACTTGGGAAAATAATCAGCTCCTGTCAGCGGGTCAAGACCTGTTAAGTCAAAGGTACATCCCACTTCCTCTGCAAAAAAATCAGTTCACTATCTTTCCTAGTTCAGCTCTATTCCCTCCACTTGCTACACAGCATTTGTGCAAATTCCCCCTCCTCCTGCAGCAGCTGTGACACTACCTTTCCAACCCATCATGCTGCTCTGAGGAGTTCTGCTACAGTTATTTCCAGAAGAGTGCCAGCAATCCTGCCTCAAACCACCCCATGGAGGCATGGGTTGTAAAGCTGAGGAAACTCATCCATCAGCTAAAACATTTGGCGGTTTTAACCCCAATTTGCAACTGGGGTGTTGGGTGTTATAACTAGAGTTCATTAATTTCAATAGAAGTGCAAGGCCCCAAAAGAGTGACAATCACACATACCAGTTGCATTGCAACTGATAATTGCCAATTTTCTTGGCTAGCTACATGACATATGTTCTCAGACTCATAAGTAATTAGGTACCTACAGAGTCTAAAAATGATGCTGAGGCAGACATGTAGGAGAACTTGGAAAAAAAAGAGAAGAACTCCTTAAAATATGACATGCATAGACATGGCTATAATGCATCACATTCCATGAAGTTTGCTTATTTCAGATTGCTGTTATTAATTATTCCAGGTATGCATAACCATGTCTTGTAGATGAGCAGCAGCTAGCAAAATTAGGAACATTAAGTCAAAGTTCAGATAGTTTAATGTCAAGTATCAGGGGGTAGCAGTGTTAGTCTGTATCTACAAAAACAACAAGGAGTCTATATACTATGGTATAGTGCCTCTATTCTCATGGTGCTTTACACACAATGGCTGGGGGATTCCTCCCTCTTATAGAAAAAGGTGTGAGGAGATCCTGTTGTCGAAGGTGGGAGGGGAAGCGTACAATTCCCGTTGTGGCATTTTTTCCAAATTTTGTAATTTGAGGGCAAACGGGCGGGTAGGGTGGTTTGTTTTGTTATGTTTAAAACAAAACAAAAAGAAGTCACAGTGGCTGAGTTATGTCCCAAATAACCATGTTTACCAGCTATACACAAACATACAAGCTACATACATACTGTGGCTTTGACAACTTCTAAATCATGGAACACTGTGAGCACAACTAGAGGGCTTGCACTGTACTTAAAGCATCCCCTTCTAGAAATCTGGCCTCAAAACCCACAGATTTCTGAGATCAGCCTGGATCTCTGGGATCTGGGAGCTCTAGGCCCACTCTGACACCTAGCAACATAGCTCTGATTTTTTTAATGCCTCATCATCTGAAATCCCCATACGTTGTGGTCGCCTGGCATTCAGTTTATCTCCTGAAGGATAAAAGGTGGAATCAGTACTACCAAAATTTGAAAGTCTTGCTCCTTTAAGTTTAGGCATTTCAAATGTGATGCTTAATCCATGAATGTTTCCTCTCTAACTAAAAAAGATATTGGATTAGATCAACCTTTTGGAGAATTTTTAGCTGTGCTTTGTACTGTAATTTACATAACTGGTCAGAATACAATGCAGGTAGGTTAGGGAAGTCCCAAAGCATTTGGTCTTCCACAAAGAATTGTTCTTTAGGAAGTATAAGATCAGATCCCACTGCTCTTCAAATGTCCCATGTATATAATTATATATGAAAAAGGAATATAAAAAGTTTAAAAATGTAACTTTCTATGCGTGGTACTGAGCACAATAATTAAATATGCATTTTTTGCAAGAACAAACAAGTACATAACACTTATGATGAGTTTTAGTTAAAATTATCTAAAAAGGAGAAACCCCTTGTTTTCAGAACCCCCAACCTTGAGGGATCCACCCTTCGCACCAAATCCAGTAGCCTCCACTCTCCCTCTGTGAAAAACAGTAGCAGCAGCAGGAAGAGTTCATAGGGGGCAGGCTGT